TAAATTTGAAGTTGTGGTGAATATGACTATAATGGTAGCTTCCTGCTTTCAGTCTCTTTAAGGTAATATGACTTAACAGTACTTAGCCTTAGTCTCCATCAGCTTTACTTCATGTCTTTATTTCATGAATGTGCTAATCTACCCAGGTAAAGAACCTGCAAACGAAATATACATCCATGATTTTTAGTGTCTTGACTTATTGAGATATAGTCATTTCTCAGAGGTCTATGAGCACATTTTATTGTATAAATCCAAAATTTAAACTAGCTTCCAAAACTAAAATGATCCAAAAGTTAAAAAACAAATGATATGGTCCTAAATATTCATGAACTCTGTCAGACTGAGAAGCTTGAAATTATGATTATTCTCTACTGCATGTTGCTGATGCCTCGTTCAGATAAATGAAAAGTGAGGAATCTTCTAAATGATCATCATGTAAAGATTGTATAGAATGTTTCCAAAAAGAAAGTAAAAAATAAAAACCTTCATGGGAGTAATAGAATCCATTTAAGAACTGCTGAGGTTTATCCTCTTCAAATTAACCCCAACTCCCTGTAACAATTTTTAAAAATAAAGGGGAGAAATCACGCATTCATGGAGAATAAGAAAGTAAGACGTAATTTATTCCAGAAATAATTTGTGGGATGCAAGTGGTGGTTTTATAACCAACCCTCACAACACCACTAAACAAAATGTTTACAGTAAGACCCAGAAGTAAAACCATGCATATATGGATATTTTTTCCTTTGCTTTATCCTTGTATACCAGTGCTATATAGTCTTAATATTAACTAGAGTAAATCTTGGATATTCTTTACCATTTGTTTTGAGATGAATTTTAAGACCAGACTCCCAAGTTCCATGAGAAATACTGAAAGGGTTTTGGTTAAAGTTCCACTGAGTTATACAGATTATTTGGGGGCTAGAACTGATATTTTTTTAATGCAGTCTTCCTGGCCATAGCAGGTCTGTTATGGATGGTATGTAGATCTCCCCGCAAGCTTCATGCCATCCGAGGTGGGGCTTTTTAGAGGTAGGTGACCTAGGTTGTGCGTTGCTGGGATTAAATGTGTGTGATTATTAAATTCATTTACTGATGAGTTTAACATAATTCTGGGTGTGTATAATGGGAAGGCTCCCAAAGGTTGGAAGTGTGGATGGGATACAAGGGAGAGGCAGGTTGGCTGCTGCTGCTTTTGCTGTTTTGTTGCTGCTGCTCGCTGCTTCACTGTCTCCTGCCTGCTTCCCATGGACTATTTCTACTCTGTGATGCCCCTCTGCCATTCCACCCTGCCTTGGAGCTAGCTGACGATGGACTGAAACCTCTGTAAACTGTGAACTGAAGTAAATCTTTCCTCCTTTAATTTTGGGTGTCAGGTATTGTGTCTCAGCAACGAGAAAAGTAAGACAGGGTCGATGTCTGTATTTTAATCAAGTGTTAATTTATATCCTTCAACAAAGGTTGATAATTTCTTTTGAGGTGTATTTCATGTCTTTTGCTTAGTTTCAATGAAGAAGCCGATATATATTTCACTAAGTAACAGAAAACAGAAAAAGCCACACTTATAAGGCTAGAGAACCTTGATTCCAAATAAGGGCAGTCGAAGTTAAAAAAAAAAAAAATCACATAGTATATTTAATGTGTAGATGCAAAGATCTTAAATATTAGTAAATTGACCTGAAATATTAGCAAATTATGTTTTTTATTAATAATTTCTTTAAGGAATATAAGCATCTGTTATGAAAGTACCATATCACCTGAACTAAAAGCAGAAAGCCACAAGATTGTTTTATTTGATATATATTTAAGTTGCTTCTAGCTTTTCTTTTTTTTTTTTTTTTTTTGAGACAGGGTCTCACGGTGTATTTTCAGGCTGGCCTTGAACTCACTGTGTAGCCTAACCTGGCCTCAAACCCATGGCAATCCTCCTGCCTCAGCCTCCCAGTGTTACGATTATAGTCATGCACCACCACACCCAGCCAAGCTTTTCATTCTTGTAAGCAATGCTTTAAGCCCTAATCTTCTACATACATTATCTATCATTTTCTTAGGAAGATTTTTCCAAAAGAATATATGAAGTTTAAACTCTGATATATTGTTAAATATGGGCCCAGCAAACTTTCTTTGTAAAGGGCCAACAAATATTATAGGCTTATGGGCCAAGAGACAAAACTGAGATTATTATGTAGGTACATATATAACGAGAGAAAACAGATTTCCATAAATCTTTATTGATGAAATAAAAATATGATAAAATTGAGCACATTGATACAATTTTTTGCCTACAAAAATGAATTGAATTCTTTTGGGAGACATAACATTAGTGTTCCCTGTCATCCAAATCTATTGCATTACATGTTGATTGTTAATGCTCATCTACAATGAGATTTTCCATATTTCACCTTTGCAAATGTCTTTCCACATACAGTACATAGGTACTGCCAAACACTGATATCAATCCATGAGCATATGGTTTTATTTGAGCATATTCACAGATTGGAAGGCATTTTTAGAATTCTATTAACTAAAAGGCTAGAATGCCTTTTAGCATGTCATTACATTGCAAATCACTTCCAATTAAAGTTCCTCAATTGCAGTTTAATGGATTTTGGAATATGGAAATTTCCTTTGCACATGCATAGAGGTCTGAAAAGTACTGCCATAGTTTGAAATTAGAAAATATATTGTGAGGAATTTGTGTAGGAATGGAAATACCACTTTTTTTTTTAACTTTTGACAGTGCAGGCCTGACGTTACTTGCAATTCAAACAATGTTAGCTCTCACTGAAATGACTTTATCACAGTGTTTCACATATAAGTCTCACATGAAAGCACTGTTTTACCTTGTAATTTTAGCTTGAGACGTTTTCAAGTATGCAGTGAACGCCATTCAGAAAGCAGTAGTTGAGTGCAGTTCTTCCAGCCATTTAGAAACATAGAAAATTATTCTTGAAGACTGTGCAAACATATTTCAGATATTACCCATTGATCATAGCTTGTAGACCCCTGCTTTATAAAGTTTTAACCATTGTCTGATAGTGTAAGAACCTGAAAGAGTGAATAAAAACTAGGAGGTACGACAGACATTGTGAAACGAAAGGAAAATGCTCAAAAGTACAGGGCAACTGGGGTGTGGAAAAAGAGCAGGGAAAGAAGGCGAAATTATTTATGTGTGTATATACAGGATAGCTAACATAGTTGTACGACTGTCTTCTATTGCTTTACTGAAAGTAACAGTTAATGATTACTTGTTTGATCAATATTGCATGTCTCTATTTGTTTTCCTGAGAAACCACTTTGAAGATATCAATATGTAATACAAAAACCATTGTTAATTTCCTACCACTTTGCCTGCAGCTCTGTATTGTTTGTATTGTTCTTAAGCTATTTTGTAAGTGGATGTCTGTCTGTTAATATATTTTCCTTCTTTTACTTTTAAAATAAATTTTAAAACAAGTTTTAACCAGTAATTTTCCCAGTAAATTTGCTGTTTGCCCAAAGTTTTGTAACCCATAAACATTTATTTAACCAAAGAGCTTTTAAAAACAACCAATTTGAATGGGAATTGTCCTTACATACTCTGTGTTATGTACTATAATCATTACACACTGTATACATGTGTTGAGTTGTCACACTGTGTTCCCAAAATTAAAAATGACATTTTTCAATTTATACATATTTGAATAACAAGGTGAAACATCTTTTTTGTTTGTTTGTTTTTGTTTTTGTTTTTGTTTTTGGATTTTCTCCGGTACCAGGAACCGAACTCACGACCTTGCACTTGCCAGGCAGGCACTTTGCCACTGAGCTAAATCCCCAGCCCCTAAACATCTTTTTCTTATTATAAGCCACTTAAATTTATTTCTTCATTGTAAACTAACTTTTGATATTTTTTTCATTTTTATCACAGTGAAATTTTCATTTCAATAATCATTCTGCAGATCACAAAGATTTTAAGCCCTTTTTAAATGACTGTACCTCCTTAGTCAGTATTATTCCACTGTCTTATCCCTCATATCCAAAACTCCTTCCATTCAAAAGACCTACTGTTGCCTGACAAAGCTATGGAAGGTTTCTCAAACTTCTCTGTGTATATGTGCCAGATACCAGTCATTCTGTGTTGCCTTTGTCCTTTTCACCTGTTAGTCTAATTCTCACTCATCCCTCAAGGCTCAGACCAAGCACAAGTTCCTCCTCTTTGGCTCCAGCCTTTACAAATACCTGCCATTAGATCAATCACACCTTTATATAATTAAGTATTGGTTTATAATAGTCTGTCTCCACTGGACTGAACTCTTGAGACTTGTATTTGGTGAGTATATTCAGAACAGTGCCCAATACTTATCAGGTACTAATTATTTATTAACTGCGTGAGTTTAAAATACTAGCATTATTGATAAAATTAACAAATATGTTCCAGATACATAAAAATAAAAAGCATTTTGTGTAATACTACTTGTATAGTGCTTTTTACTTTAACATAGTACCACATACAATTGAATTTTGAAGAAGTACCCTCAGCATCATATACACTGGTGCATGCTCAGGTAGCTGAGGCAGGAGAATCAAGGCACTGAACCCAGGAGTTCAAGATCAGCCTGGACAACTCAGCAAGACCCTGATACAAAAAAAATAAAAAAATAAAAAATAAAAAAAATAGTGAAGAGGATCCTCAAATATTAAATCATCACCAAATAAAATAATAATTAAGGTTTTTATTCCCTGATAAAACTGAGGATGTCATTTATTAAAATGTGTTTTTTATTTTAAGGGGTAAAATAATTTATTTAACTGCCTTTAGTTATAGTTCTGGTCTCTAGTTAAGAAAAATTTATTTGTACTGGGAAAGAAAACTGAAAATTTAAAAATACAAAAAAGAATAGTCATTGGGCCATGTCCATTTTCTAATCTGAACTGTAAGTTTCTTCCTTTCAAAATCTCCTTTGTAACTTGACTAACATTTATTTTGGGTTAATTTTTATTTTGCTTTATTCCCCAAGGATATCCATTACCTTGCCCTAGATAAGGGTGAATTGGCACTAGCCGAAGTGGCAAGGAAAAAAGCGAGTGACATTGATGAAGAATCAGTAACCTCTGGAGTTGGTAATGCTTTTTTTTAAGTGCTTTTTGTTTTAACCAATATTTATTTTCATTTCTATTTATGTTTGTAGCCTATGGTTGATTAATCTGAATTACATTCTTTGTAAAGAAAGTATCCTTTACGAAGAATTATTAAATTTGAAAATAGCATAATATTGATAAACACAGTATAACTATGTGAAAATTAATAATCAGTGATTACTATAGTCACTATTAACAAAAAGTAAAAAGATATTGCTCTTTTGATAAGATTTTAGGGAAAAGAGTTTTATCGTCAGTGTATTATTAACCAACATAGAAATTTGTATAACCCCTTATTTATACATACATGTCATATCTTAAAAGAATTTTCTCCTGTATCAGAGTAGTTCACATGGGATTTCAGGTTTGATGGATGATTTTTTTTGTTTAGAAACTGCTAACTTTTACAGTTTAGTATTCCAAAAAATATATCAGAAGCCAAGTTTGAGTCTAAAGATCCATTTAAACTTTACAATATAGAAAAATAAAAATTTTAAAATATACTGTAAACATTAACTTCTTTTCCCTTTTTGGTACTGAAGATTAAATCGAGGGGCACTCTACTACTAAATTACATCCCCAGCTCTTTCTGGTTTTTTAGGCAAGATCTCAAAAAATTGCCTGGGCCAGCCTGAATTTGTAATCCTTCTACCTCAGCCTCACAAGTAGCTAGGGTTATAGGTGTGCACCACCACAGTCCAGCAGAACTTTTTTTTTTCTAAACTCAGTTTATCTACTGTCACTAAATCTGGCAGTATTAAGACTTGAACATCACAATTTCTCTCCTTTCTGGCATCTCTTACTCCTAGATTATATAAACAGTCCTCAAGATTATAATAGAATTCATTTCATTTCTCTGTGGATTCCTATAAAACAAGAGGTTTTAATCCCTTTATGCTTAGTGTTCCACTTTTGGAATGCACATAACAATGGAACATAATAATTTTTTTTCTTTTCAAATTCTTGTTACTTGAATTTCTATGTAACATATATGAAATTTGTGCAAAAATTTTAAAAATTGCAATCTTCAGCATAAATGGGTTGATAAAATTCCCATATTGTAAGAGCTTAAAAATATTATAGTGAACTTCTCCACTGATAGGTCATTTTATGCTTTGTCTTTGTGATGTCGTTTACAGCCAAAGGGACTAACTGGCTTCTCTGACATCACATCATAGGTTACAGTTTTCAAGATGATTTCAAAAGGGACTCAAAGCCATATTACTAGGATAAACCTAAACCTAAATATCAGATTGACAGTTATTATCAGTAACAGAATTCCATTCTTCTTCCCCACCCTTAGAAAGTTGCATATGGAACCCATTAGAATACCTTTACTTGGCCTGTCACTATACTGTTTCTTGTTTGTTGTGATTTGGGGCTTATTACAAGGGGAACAATATAATACAGGACATGTATTTTATAAGATTATTTATAATAGTCACCCAAAGAATCATATACAAGAGAGTGCAGAAAATTTGTCCACATGCTAAAGACCAAAGAATCCAGCTGAGGGCCTGGATTCCATGATAATGTCCTGCATGAGTTCATCTGAAGACCTAGAGCCCATAACAATGCCTCCCATGAGCCCAGCTAGAGGCCTAGAGCCCATTACAATATCTCATGGATCTGCACTGGGAAGGCCCAAAGGTCAGTGGTGGAAGCTAGAAAGTCTGTGCCAGCGGGATGAACAATCTGTGCTAGCAGGCTGAGGGATGTGCATTGGAGCCAGGAAGCGATGCTCAAAATAAGAACCAGAGCTCCCCCCGAAAAGTACCACAGCCATCCTCCACAACAGTGTGGTCCTGAGCTTTTCCAATGATCAGGACAGCCAGGTTCCCATCAGGAAAGCCAACGTGACAAGCCTCTCCAGGAGACTGCACAGTGTACCATCTTCCCCTTTGGAGCCAGAAAGCGATGCTCAGAGTGAGGACTAGAGCTCCCCCAAAGTGAACGGAAGCCATTCTCAGAAACAACAAGGTCTGGAGCTCCTTGGAGGATGAAAACAGCCAAGTTCCTCAGGAAAGCCAGCATGGCAGGCTCCTCCAAGAAAACCAACAGCTCTTTACAGCTTCTCTCCACTTCCAGCAGGCTCCCAACAGCTTCTACCAGCTCCCAACAGCCTTCCTCGGTTCCCAACAGCCTAACTTCTCCAGTTCTGCCTCTTATGCTGCTGGCAACAGTCCCCAGGTGGGCCTCCCACACCCAGCACCACACTTACTCAGTTCAGCTGGAAGTTATAAGTTGAGCACCAGTTGTCAATCCACCACCTTGTTACTAAGACTATGATGTGCCTCAATAACAATATTAATATCTAGTATTTACTAAATGTTCACTGTGGGACAGACACTTTTAAATTACAGATATCAACTAATTTTATCCTCATAACAACTCTATGTTGCAGGTACAATTTATATTTGTAATGAGAAGTTACTGTTAAGTAAATGATGAAACCATGTTAATAGGAATTGTGATATTATATAATGGGGACTTAAAAAAAAAAGACTCCATTCCTCTCTTTTTAATCACTTAGGAAAACACAGCAAGCGGTTAATTCCACATAACTTTCTAGGAATTTTCCTTAGTTGTCCCTGCTTGCCTTTTCCATCAGGATATCAAATATAATGAAATCTATCTTTGAATTTTAAAGCTATTTAAAGGTACTAAGGGAGAAAGGAAATGTGAAGAAATTACCATGAAACTTCAGAAAAATGAAGAAGTCTTGCGCCCCTCTAGGGCAGGTTACTGTGGCCAAGTGATGATTCCTAGCCAGAAAGCTCTACGTTCCTCCTTTGAGCTCTGTCTCATTTTTGGCAAATATGTTTTTCCTGAAACCCTGTGACTCCCCTTTTCTAAGGCTATGACCCAAATTCTTGTCCCTTGATAAAGATATCACTCAGTAATATCAATAGCTAAAAACAGATGAACTTAAATGAATACAATATTTACTCCACTTTTGTTCTAGAAGACTGGGTGACTCTCAGCCATGATTCCAAATGGAGTTTAGGGAACAACCTCTAATTTCCTCATCATAGCCTATGCTCTCTTTTTCATTACACCCCATATCATCTGGGGAATGCTAATTTTTCTCATATTCCATCAATTTAATTCACTGTCCTCTCAAACTTTTCCCAAAGCAGAAAGTGATTAAATTTTTGGCTTTCAAAGGTGCTCTTTGATGCAAGCAAAGGCTAAACTGGATATCAAGAATACTTTAGTTCAGTCTACATGGGAGAATCTGTTAAAAAAAGGTACTACATATAGTAGCTGTCAACACAGTTAAAAGCAAGTGTTGCCAAAGGAAAAGCTGAAAGATAATCTAAATAATTTGGTAATTTTTTAAAAAAACTTTTTGTTAAATTATAACATACATACTTAAAAATGCACAAATCATAAAGATATGACCCAGTGAACTTCCATCCACAAAGGCAACACATGTGGTAGCCAGTATCTAAGCCAAGTAATGTATATTACCAGGACCCCAGAAGTCCTTTTGTATCCCCTTCAAAATACTATACCCCCATCTTACCTATCCAGACTTTGTAACACTTTATTTCAAGCTTTTGATAATATAATGATAAGAATTGAGTTCATCAATACAATGACTGTGAAAATCTTTCATATTGTTGCAGGTAGTTGTAATTCTTTTTTTTTTTCCTTTTATTTTTGGTGCTGGGGATCAAGCTTGCTTATGCTAAGAATATGCTGTACCACTAAGCTATACCTCCAGCCTGTGTTTAACTCTTTCATTCTTATTGTTGTGTAACAGTATTTTGTGTAACAGTATTCCAATATATGAATATACTACAATTTTATTTTTTCTATTTGAATGGATTCTGGCAAATTTCTGTTTTTAATGTAATATGTGAAATAAATTACATACGCTATTATGTATGCAAGGTATATACATTTATATTTAGTTGTCTAAGTTTTTAATTATTTGTTTCCCATTTTGGCAGCCCTGTTTTTTTTTAAATATTGCCCATTTATGCAGGATATAGTCTATAAAGTGTATACTTGTCAAACATGCTAACTTTTATAAATCTTGATAAGGGGAAAATTTGTAATCAAGTTTGATGTAACATGTATATGTTTAATGCCTATAAAATTAAGCTTTGTAAATAATTGGTACAGCAGTAAGATATTTAAAATAGACTATTCTATTTCTCGCTTGCGTGTCAGTACTAAATGCAAATTTTTATTGTATTGCTTAATAAATAAAAGAGGTAGAGCTCAGGTTAAAAAAAATGCATGCAGTGAGATTATGGGTGTAAAATCATTTTGAAAAAGACACAAATACCGTAAGCCAAAGGCAAAGGCTGACTTTTTTTTTTTTGAGACAAGGTCTCGCTATGTAGTGCAGGCTGGCCTTGAACTTGCTTATGTAGCCAAGGCTACTCTTGAATTCACAGTGATCCTCCTGCCTCAGCCTCCTCCTGCCACAGCCTCCTGAGTGCTGAGATTACACGCATGTGCCATCACACCTGGCTAAAAGTTAGTATTTCTATTATGGTATAATCAGTATGTAGGTTAAGGCGGTACAAATTTTGTTGACCTAAATTGAGTGCTTGGTGATGTTTGTTTGTTTTTGTTTGTTTGTTTGTCTTTTTGAGACAGGGTTTCATTATGTGGTTCATGGTGGCCTTGAGCTTGTTTATGTAGCCCAGGCTGACCTTGAACTCAAGGTGATCCTCTTGCCTGAACCTCCCAAGTGCTGGGATTATAGCCATGCACCACCACACCTGGCTGCTTGGTGATTTGTAAGCTACTTGGTTATTTCAGTTTTTCTTTTCTCTAATAACCTAATTTGTAGGTAATTTGTACATTATGTCATGTTAAATTTCATAAATGTTCTTTTAAAGGTTTACAAAATAGCTGGGGTTGGAGGCTTCTAGCTGTTCTGTGACAAAAATTCTGAGGATAGACTTTGGCAGCAGACTTATTACTAACAGTTGCAAGACCAAGGGCAAGTAACTTACCTT